GGATCCATAGGGAGGGGGGGGCGATGGGGGCGATCGCCCCCGCCTTACATAATTTGAAAAAACATTTTTTTGTATTTAGTATATTTAGTCGTTTATAAAAAAAGCATACTTGGTTTGTCGATTATTTTAATTGATCATATTACAAATTCTAATTTACAATTTCCCGAATTCGCAAAACGGTCAATCACTTTTTCAACATTTACAGGAATTTCTCTGTGCACATTAAGTAAAGCCAATCCGATTAGTCTGTTTTCTGTCGTTCGTGTTCTCAGGCAATTCTTGATTCTTCGCAAGGTTGAGAAGCTACGCCTAGCACTGGCGACACTTACAGGACATGTCTTGATAATTTTAAACAACTTATGAGTGATTGGATATTGCACTTGGTCACACAAATCAAATTTACATTGTAAATTTTCATTAGAAAAACGTGCACTTATGTCCAATATTAACGCGTCAAGTAGAGGAATGTAAATTGATCGCCTGTAATACTCTTCCATTGAATCTGAAGGTATATTTTCACGACATGTCTGTTGCTGTACTATTCTTTTGTAGGTAAAACTACAATTTTTTTCAATTATTGTTTTTTCTGCGGCTCTAAAATTTTCCTCAAACATTTCTTCGCAGTTTTCTCTTTTATGTTTTAAAACAATTAACAGGTCTTTAATACAATTTTTTGCTTTATTTATTTTTTACTTTTTTTTTGAAACAACTGACTGAGCCCATTTGTTAAGGAAAACACATGTACTGCACAGCCTAAAGATACAATAAAATCACTTTCTCTAACTGATAATAATAAAATTCTTGCTTTTATTGAAAATGTTCTGTCATTCCATTTAGATATATTGTCCAGTGCATCAATTATTTGTGGAAGCTCAACACTAAACGTCAGCAAAGCATCATGTCTCTCAACCCATCGTGTTTCGCAGAGTGAAAGCAGTTGTGAATTTAGCATTTTTTAAATAAAATTTCGTTTGGCAGAAGCATTGAAAAAAGCAACAACTTTGCCAATAATCCCTAAACAATTTCTTATTGCTTGTACGTTGGAACTCTTAGATAAAGTTAAATTTAAAGCATAATTATAGCATGGACACCAAATAGCATTTGACGCAACTTGTTGAATTTCAACTACCGCTCCTTTTTGTAATGACAACATAACACTACAACCATCTGTTCCCACAACGACACATTTTTCTAAAGAAAGGCGTAACTTTTTTTCTAACATGTTTATAACAGATTGACCAATGGCTTTGCCGTCAAGAATAGGTTAATTGTAAATAGTTGCATTACTTTTGGTTTGATGATTTTGATCATGCAAATCAACAAATCCAACAAAATCTTCTCGAACTGATCCATCAGCCATCAAATAGTGTAGTATTATTGTCATTTGTTACTGATGTGATGCATCAATTGTTTCGTCAAACATAATAGCATAATAATTTGATTCTCTAACACGACTCACAATTTGTTCATATATTTCTTCTCCACAGCATTCAATTAAAGCATTTTAGGTAGTTTTGCTAATGTATGTTGCAGAAGCTCTAGCTGTTTTCAAATAATTTTCTAAATTTAAATTGCCACAGTTTACTCTAAATATTAGCAACTCTCGAAAATTACCTTCATTTGTCATTACATCAGAATCGTCATCGTCTATGTCTAATAAGCTGCCATCATCTCTGTGGCCTTTAAAAGGAATATTTTGCCTTTCTAAAAATATAATTGTTCCCACAAAAGGTGTCAATCGTTGACGATTTTCTAAAAACTGTTGAAGCCGTTGAGTATTTATTCTGTTTACAATATCCATTGCTGGTTTATTATAGTTTTTTAAAAAATACCTTCTTGCTTCATCAGCTTCTTTGTGATATGTTGCTTTTTCGTGACATGTTAGATCTCCGTCCTTGCCAAACAGTTTAGCAAACACCTGTAATGGTTGTTTAACTAGCTTCTGAAGTGCAACTTGTTTGTGAGATCCTGCAGTCCGATGGTATTAAAATAAGGCACAATATTTGCAGTCTAGTCCCTTTTTTCTATCTGAATATACTAACCATTCGTATTTTTCAAAATGAGAATGATTAAGATATCGCTTTTCTCGCTTATTTTTTTTAATGTGAACTGAATGCGGCATTTTGTAGTCAGTTGATGGTTTCCATGACAATTCTAACAGGTTTTTTTATAGTTATATCATCAATAGTTTTACCGACAAAGTCTATGTCTTTGTCTTGTAGTTCTGATTTCTCATGTTCAACATGTTGAATAGCAATATTAATAGTAGCAGCAAAACTAGTTGAAGGTATTTCAGCAAAGTTGTCTTTCTTCGATGCTGTAAAGAATGAATCTAAACTACTCTGCAACCGAAATGGATTAGTTCTCTTCATTGCGTCTCGAAAAAATGATAATAACTATGGCAACAATCTATAATTTTTTGCTTTTTTTTATTAAAAACTGATATTAAACTAATATAACAAAACTGGTGATTTTGAAAATAACTTTTTTTTACTATTTAGTTTAAGTGTCGTTTATGTCAAAAACATTTGATTAAAACCTTTACTTAATCATTTAATATACTCAAATTAATTGCTGTTACCTGCTAAATAAAAAGCGCTGGTTTCTACTAAAACAACTATTACATTAATTTAACGTAAATTATTCTTTCAAATTATAGAGATTTATTATATTAATTAAATAGAGATAATTATTTAAAAGAATTTTAGAGAAGCAATCCCTAAAGTTCAGTTCATTATGTTACTTTGAATATATTTGAAGCAAGGGTTACTAATATCAAATTAATAATAAAATATTATATGCGTCATTAAAAGTAAAATAATAAAAAAATGTGTTTTAATGTTTTATTTTCAAAAATAGAAACCATAATTAGTTATTAAATAAAAAAAAAAAAAGGAATTTAGAAATTCCTATAATTTCTTTTTCGCTTTTAAACGTTCAACGTATTATTTAATTAGGTTCTACCGCGCAAAATTTAAACCGGACTACTAACCAATATACGATGTCATTTCATAGTTATTCTGGTTAAAGTAGTTTATTTAGAATTAAAGAATAAAATTAAAAATTAAAGAGTAATATATATATATATAAGTATAAGTACAAGAGTATGACAGAAAAAGAGTAATAATCAAACGAATATTATATAAAAAAAAATTTGTGAGGTTGCTGAAAAATCGCCCCCCTTACTTGATGGTCTGGATCCGCCCCTGCTAATAGGTAATAAGTAAATACTAGGATTACCCTTCCAAAAATTAAATTAAAATGCTCTAAAATTTCACTCTTAAGATGCGTTGAAGTTATGATTGAGTTTTGATTTAAAAATGTAAATTCCTGATGCTATAACCTTAATTACAAGAACAAAGAACTAAATATTTTCAGAAATAAAGTCATTTTCCAACTTTATACTACACTACCTGATTTTTAAATTTTTTCATTAGTCAAACTAGCAAATGCCAGATGTTTCTGTAAAGTATAATTTATTATGTCAATAAAATAATATGAAGTTGTGTTAAAATATACCAGTTATTACTGTTAAAATTTACGAAAGTAGAGCATAATCTGTTTCCAGATACTCTACTTAGATTTTAATTTCGTAGATTTTAATTTTTGTAGATTTTAATTTCGTAGATTTTTATCACATGTTATTAAATTAACTTATAGAAAACAAATTTTTTTGAACTTGACACAGTAAAGTCTTTTAAATGTTAAAACCTTTTAAAAAATTAATACTATTTAAGATGGTAGTTTTATATATTTTGATATTTTTTTAACTAAAAACTAAACCACAATTTAAGATTGGTTTAATTGTGTGTTATAGAATTCAGCAGGAATAAAATGTATTTGATAAATGTAAGATTATACAAAAATTATTTTTTTTAATTTTTAATCAAAAATGGTTATCAGACATTCTATAGTCATATCATGAAAACCTATGACTATTATTTGTCTTTTGTTCCTTGTGTAGAACTGTAAGGAGGAAAAAAAGATAAATTTATTGTAATTAAATTTTAAATAAACCAGTTAAGTTGCATAAATGGCTTATAAATACATATTTTTAGAAAACTTTAAACAATTAGTTTATTACTCAACATACTTATATTTGCAGTATGTAATACAGAGCCAAAAAATGATAGAAGATTTTTTTTGAAAATCAAAATCAATAATATTCAAAAAGCTACATTTACTATTGGTTGGATAAAAGCAGTGTTTATTGAAACCACTGCTTTTATCTTAAAAAAAGAATAGTTGAAATAAAGGGGCTGTCCATAAAGTCAACAAGCTTATAATTTTTTGACAACAGGGATAGGGGAGGAGGTCAAGAAAAGCTGAAATCAAGAATGTTGCTATTTTAAATAAATTTAATTACTTATAAAAATAAATGTTTCTCTCCATTTTAACTTAATTTAAATGGCGCAAGGGAGGGGAAGGGAGGTTTAATTAAATGTTTACAAAATTTAAAGGGGTCTATGGATGTTTGACAAGTTGTTGACAAGGGGGAGGTGAAAGATAAAAATTAACTAAATAGTTGTGACAATGTGATGTAATTAATGGGCAACCCCAAATACAGTTTAAAATGTAAGTATAAATGATTAAATCTTTAAATTAGGGGGGGACCAATGCGTTGGCCTGGCGATGCATCACTATTCTTGGTAACCATAAGGCAATGTTATTATTTTTAAAAACATCAGTTTATTTTTTTTTACGTTTCTATATTGTATGCAAAGATACAATTATTCCATAAGCAAAAAGCATATATAAACCTAAATTATTATATAGGCATATCTGCTACCACTAAACCATTCAAAATACTTTTTGAACATTTTTTTTCAAGAACTCCCTACTTTTTTCATATCTTATTTCAATCTAGAACAGAAATCATGTGTGCATATATATATATATATATATATATATATATATATATATATATATATATATATATATATATATATATATATATATATAAATATGTAAACATATTTTTTTAATTAGTAACTTTATAGTTAAAGCTTATCACTGCATCATTGCTAATGGCAATTTTTACTGCTATAAAGATCCAAAAAGTAAAAAGCCAAAGTTATGCATTCTTATGAGCCAATCACAGTAAGTATAAAATCATAAAATTGATCCTAAAATTATTAGAAATTTGTTATCAAAACTTTTAATTACTTGCATTTTTCTGACAGACTTTCTTTAGAAGATGATGTCAAGTTTATAATTGATGTATCAAAGAAAAATAAAGGATATAAGTTCGTTACTGCTAACCAGCAAGATAGAGAAGTAAATAATTATTTTTATTTAATGATTAATTCTTAAATATATATAATCATCTAAATATGAAATGAAAAAAAATATATACGAGCATTCTAATTTATTAATGAAACTTTTTAGAAGGTTTTCATTTGTTTACTAAAAAAAATTTTCTTCAGTAAAAGGTTCTTCATTGATAAAAAAAAAAATTATATAATAAATAGAACAGTTCTCATGGTAATCTACCATTAACGTCTTTATGGAGAGTTTTCAAGATTTTTTTTTTGCAATACTCTAACTAAAATTAAAAAAAACTAAAACATTTTTAACTATTTTTAAGTCATATACAAAAAAAAAAATTTTTTTAAAGAATAAACTTTATTACTAAAAAATACAGTTTGAAAAAATAAAAATTTAAAACATTAAATGTATAATTAGTTGAAATTAAAAACTTGGGTTAAAATCGTAATAGATAATTAATAACACAATAAAAATTGAAGCAAATTTAAGTGTGAAGCACCCTCAAAAGCTATGTGTTAATTCATTCTAAAAAAATTCTCGATAACCCTTTTTTAAAACAAATTAATATGTTTTAAAATTGTTTTCTTAAATTATATCGAAATTAAAACAGTTTTTATGCTTAATGCAAAATGTTTTATTATATTAGTTTATATTCTTTCTATCATCTTTTATCACACAATTATATTAGTTTATATTTTTTCTATTTTTTTTTATCACACAATTATAAAGTGAACAAAAACTATTAATAGCTTTAACTAGTAGTTTCAAAACCATTTTTTTATAATTTGCTTCAATTTGCTTTCAAAACCATTTTTTTAATAATTTGTTTCAAAACCATTTTTTTATAATTTGTTTCAAAACTGTCTTTTTTTTGTAATTCGTTTCAGTACTATGTGAATGTTTGTAATGTTGTTTAAAAATACATTTTTAGTATTTTTTTTTTTTTAAAGTATAACTATTAAAAAGGTTTTTTATTTGAAATTTAAATTTGATTTTTTATTGATTACAGCTAGTTGTTTATAATAATAAAGTAAGTTGTTATTTTCTATAAATTTAAGTATTATTTTGTTAAATTTCACAGACAAAAAAAAAAAACATTTTAGTAAATGGTATTTAACAGAAGTATATTTAAAGAATAAAAAAATTATTAATAGGAAATATCTAATATGGAAAGTTTACATAAAAGTTACTTTTAATTTAAATTCAAATTTGAAAATTTCAAAGGTAAACAAGTTGAAATTTTTCATTCCAAATATAATTTATACACTATTTTTCATGTCAAATATAATTTATACTTATTATTTTTTAATACTATCTAGATTTATTTTTAATAATATTATTTAAATTTTAATATTTAGCAAAGATCTCATTTAATAAGTTATTAGTTTAAAAGAAATAGTAAAAAGAAGTTTCTATAATTACTTTTATAAAATAAAGTTTTTACAAACTATGATAAAGCATGGATAAATATATACATACATAAGAAAATGGATGCAACATGGCGGATGCAGCATTTTTTGATGTTTGAGATAACTAATTTCCAGACATGTATCAAACTCTAAATATTTATATGTTTACACTTATATCAAATAAGATGCATTGCAAAAATTTGTGATGATTAGAGCCTGGGAACAAAAATACCCTTAAATTTTAGTTACACCTGCCTCAAATGTGAGAGTAAAATGTTGATAAAATGCTTTTTTAATTATTCTTAACTAAGTTTATATTCATCAATAAAATTCAAATTTCAAACAAAAATCTCTTAAGGTGAGTTTCCACTCATCCATTTTTTCACGGGAACAGGATAGGAAAAGGAAAAATAATCACATGAGCATGCGTAGTTTTCCTTCGGACATATTAAAACTTATACTACGCATGCCCACGTGATTATTTTTCCCGTCCCTTTCTTGTTCCCGTAAAAAAACAGATGAGTGGTAACTCGCCTTTAGCATTCAAAAATTATGACCTTATAAAATTTGCAACCCCATCAAGTTGAGGGGGTTGCAAATTTTATAAGGTCATAATTTTTGAATGCAGGTCCAAGAATAAATATATTTAGAAGTTACAATATGGATTATTTAGTAAATTAGTAATAATAGCTGCAACACAACTTGGTTGTGTGAAACACTTTAATAGGTTTTAAGGTGCTATAGTAGCTCCTGGTAAAATCTAGTTAAGAAATACTTTGATTTATTAAAAAAAAGTAGAAAATCTGTATCTTTCCTTTGCACTACATTTTAAGTCTTTGTCAAAAGTCTACATTGATGTCATATACTGAAACTCTTAAAAATTAAATACCCTCAAAAAACTAAAAAATTTATTTTTCGTTAATAAGGTGCTCAAAGAAGACCTTTTTTTTCTTTTTTTTTCATTTTTTTATTTGACCAAAAAATATGGAAATTTTACAATAATAAATTATAAACTTACATAAATAAGGTGTCATTCTTAGAGCTCAAATCTAGTATAGGGTCATTCCATATAAGATGAGCCAAACCTTCCCGGGTGATCTCAGATTTTCTTGAAATTTACATCACTCATAGGTTTTATGTAAAAAAAAGATTTCCTTAAAATTTCAACTCGTTATTTTGAAGCATTCTAAAATTATGGCAATTTTAAACATTTTTTTGAGCAATTTGTTGTCTTTTTCAAAAAAGTCTCATTTTCATTTCCACATAAATAAAAAACCAATTATCTTAAATACTTTAAAATCAATCTGATGGCAGTAATCTACTTTAACTTTGAAAAAAATAATTTTTTTTTACAAAACTAATTATTTTTGGCCATCTTGGACTTCAAAGTTATAAAAAAAACACTTTAAAGAAAAAATTTTAATATTAATAAAGCAAATAAAAGCAGAATACACAAGCCATAGAAAGTTAGACCCCCCTAAAAAGCCTCCCGCTTTAAAATGGTGAAATTAGGTCCTTTTTAGAATTGAAAATTACCCAGGTGTACAGTAAATTTAACACTTAAAACTTTTAGGAATTTATCTTCAATATAAGAAGAATAAATACAGAAAAAATAATCTGTATAAAAATAATGTCTTGTAGCTGCTGAGATATCTGAACTTAAACTTTCCATCATAATAAGATTCTGGAATTTAAAATCGGCCATTTTGAATTCGCTATATAGTCAATATCTTTAAAACCAATAAACATTTTAATGTAAAAATTTGTTTATTTATTTATTTTTAAACAAGGAATTTCAAAATAAATTTTAAAATAAAGATATCTGTACATAAAGGCTTATATTTTTCCAATATATGAATACATTTGAAACTCAAAAAAAAGATAAGAAATAAATCTCAATTACAATAAAAGAATGTAGAAAACAAAATAATAAAGAATAAATCTTGTTCTCAAAATAATAGTCTAAATATTTTTGTTAAACATTTCAAAATTTGACGATGTTTCTTTAAATTCTTGGTCAGAAATTTGATAGCTTTTTGCTGATTGACATTGTGCAATCAGAGTATTTTTTTTTGCTAAAATATTTACAACAGGAACCCAACATTTGTCTTCTCACCTGGGCCATTTAAAGTTCATTCCATTTTGTTGCATAAATTTTATATAAATATCTGAATCATCTGCAATTTCTTGTACAATTCGAATGTACCATTCATTATCATAGACACATGCAAGATATATTCCAGCATGCAAATAACCAATGCAGTACGAAGTTCGGCCTTCTTCATTATTAGTTGCATTAACTGTTGTAAAACATGTATCACCTGATATACGTTTCATTTCTAGCTTCCCTCCATTACATGGTATAAAACTAAATCACTAAAGTAATGACATAAGGTCAAACTTGGCAAGACAATTTTTATATTTTCTTAAACTCTAGCTAAAAAAGGATTAACAGCATTAGCATCATTTTGCATACAGTCAGATATTATTCAATAGTTCATTGGTTTGAGTTTATTTTCAAAATCTTTGTATTATATAACGAATAGATATAGTTTTACTTGGTAATTATTTCAATGAAATCCTTAAACTGCTTCTTGTGCTAAAAAAACGATAATTTTCTGCAAAATCAAGCAAAATGATAATTTGGTTTTGTTGAAGATTTTCTTTCAGAATTCAAAGGGATAAGGACTGTACCTTTGAAATAAATGGTGTGATTGCAAGTTTTCAATTGTAGAAACAATTTTTTCAAGAAACTCCTAACGGAAGTTCTAAAGTTACCAAACTAATCGTGTTCTCCTTTTTTAACCACTGTACGGAACTATATCCTTATATTCAAAACCATGTTGATTGAAGATATCACTTATATACTGTTTTAAGTTTTCTATATTAGGGCAGTTATCACAACTATGAAGCATACAGCTGCGATTCTCAATGTCACATGCTGTTTTTGATATAAGTTCTTTATATTCAATGTTACAGGGCATTGCATAAGTAATTAACTTTGAATTTTGGTGTACTTGACAGACACAAACTCAATGCACACCAGATGCGCTATCTACTTTTACACACCATTTCGGTTAAAGCTGACAAAATTTTGAAAATCCTATTTTCTCTCCTGTTTTTAGAAATTCTAAATGTACCTCTTTTAGATTTACAAGTAATAATCGCTTTTGGATATGTTGTTTTTGACCATCGATTTTAACTGAAACAAATTTTTTCTTATCCGGATAAATCCTAGAATATTTGTCACACTGATAAAAATTCTTGATATTTGATTTAAGTGCTTGTGATGTCTTTTTTTTAGTAATTTTTTTATACTCTCCTAAGATACCTTTAGACGCCTTTAGTTTATGCGCTTTTTTAACCATTGACTTTGGTACAGAAAAGTATTCTGTTGTTTGTTGAATTGTCCAACTATTTGGTGTTAATGTTAATAGGTTTATTTTTTCATTTGTATTTGATTTAGCAATTTTTTGCTTAATGGCTTCACAAAATAAATCTTGGTCTGTCAATTTTTTTGGATATTCATAGAAATTTCATTATTAGAAATTCCCAAATAATTTGAAATTAATGTTTGGCAAGAATTTGAAACCTCTTTTA